ACCATTGCCACCATCATAAGACACCACCACCACCACTGCCACCACCATAAGACACCACCACCACCACTGCCACCATCATAAGACACCACCACCACCACCACCACACCATCATAAGACACCACCACCACCACCACCATAAGACACCACCACCACCCTGCCACCATCATAGACACCACACCACACCTACCATCATAGACACATCACTGCCACCATCATAAGACACCACCATCCGCCATCATAGACACCACCACCACCACTGCCACCATCATAAGACACCACCACCACCACTGCCACCATCATAAGACACCACCACCACTGCCACCATCATAAGACACCAACCACCACTGCCACCATCATAAGACACCACCACCACTGCCACCATCATAAGACACCACCACCACCACTGCCACCATCATAAGACACCACCACCACCACTGCCACCATCATAGACACCACCACCACCACTGCCACCATCATAAGACACCACCACCACCACTGCCACCATCATAAGACACACCACCACTGCCACCATCATAAGACACCACCACCACCACTGCCACCATCATAAGACACCACCACCACCACCACCACCCACCATCATAAGACACCATCACCACTGCCACCATCATAAGACACCATCACCACACTGCCACCATCATAAACACCACCACCACCCTGCCACCATCATAAGACACCACCACCACCACTGCCACCATCATAAGACACCACCACCACTGCCACCACCATAAGACACCACCACCACCACTGCCACCATATAGAGAAAACACCTGAGAGTTGAGTGGGTAGTCCCTGGTGCCTCCCGGAAGAAGATAGCCTCCATTATCATCATTAACGTGGAGGTCATTACAGGTTCGTCATCATTACCGTGAAGGTCATTACAAGGTGGTCATCATTAGCTTCGTGTCGACCTTCAAAGTTGGGTCGTGTGGGGGTGGTGAAGCAACTTATGGCCTCATCGCCTAAGTTGGGTCGTGATGGAGATTAATATTGTTAATGACGGAACTCTGTAAAACGCAAAGCATGTGAGTTGTTCTGAACTATTGAACATGAGGGCTTCACTGATCTGGCTCTCGTCTGACCACTTGTTGACCTGAGGAGCTTCACTGATCTGGCTCTCGTCTGACCACTTGTTGACCTGAGGGGCTTCACTGATCTGGCTCTCGTCTGACCACTTGTTGACCTGAGGAGCTTCACTGATCTGGCTCTCGTCTAACCACTTGTTGACCTGAGGGGCTTCACAAATCTGGCTCATACCTCATCAACTGTCGACCTGGAAGCTTCACAGGTTGTATTTGTATCACTTGTAGACCTGAAGGCTTCACACAGGTCCTGCTCATAAAATATATCCACAGCGAAGACACTAAAAATTGTACCTGGTGTAATTGAGATAATTTACCCTGACTACACCTGTGTTTGTTCAGTCTCTCATTAAGTACTGCCTTAGTCTTACCTGCGTGTACACATGTCTCCCTTCCCTGTTATTGTCTTTTGGTGTGTGTGTGTGTGTGTGTGTGTGTGTGTGTGTGTGTGTGTGTGTGTCTTTTCATTACGATTAAATTAATTAAAAGAATAAATAAAAAGATTCAATACGTACATTCCTACAGTTAATCAACATTACTTGCCTCACTATATCAACATTATGTAATATATTTTTCACCTTGCCAGTAAAGGGGTAATATTTTTTTTTCTTCCTAGCAAACAGAGAGAAAAGTGAGATATATCTACCTCTTTACCCCGCCTCCCGGAACCCTGGAGACCTTAATGTAAAGTTGACTCGATTATTAATGCAACAAGTCGGACGCGACCAGCTGCACCTTTTTTGCTAAGTCATGTAAACAAACTCATGCGTGCGTGCCAAGTGACTATGGCCGCTGTGTTGACAAATGTTTAAGGTAAGGCTGTGGTGCCGAGTGTTATGTTGTGTTGCCGAGTAAGCTGTGCTGCTGTTATGCCAGGTGCCGAGTGTTATGCTGTGGTGCAGTGTTATGCTGTAAGTGTTATGCTGTGGTGCCGAGTGTTGCGCTGTGGTGCCGAGTGTTATGCTGTGGTGCCGAGTGTTATGCTGTGGTGCCGAGTGTTATGCTGGTGCCAGTGTTATGCTGTGGTGCCGGAGTGTTATGCTGTGGTGCCGAAGTGTTATGCTGTGGTGCCGAGTGTTATGCTGTGGTGCCGAGTGTTATGCTGTGGTGCCGAGTGTTATGCTGTGGTGCCGAGTGTTATGCTGTGGTGCCGAATGTTGTGTTGTCGAGTGTTATGCTGTGGTGTCGAGTGTTATGTTGTGTTTGTCAAGTGTTATGTTGTGTTGTCGAGTGTTATGCTGTGTTGTCGAGTGTTATGCTGTAAGCCAGTGTTATGTTGTGTTGTCAAGTGTTATGCTGTGGTGCCGAGTGTTATGTTGTGTTGTCGAGTGTTATGCTGTGGTGTCAGGTGTTATGCTGTGTTGTCCGAGTGTTATGTTGTGTTGTCAAGTGTTATGCTGTGTTGTCAGAGTGTTATGTTGTGTTGTCGAGTGTGCGTGTGTCCTGTGGTGCGTGTTATGTTGTGTTGTCAAGTGTTATGCTGTGGTGCCAAGTGTTATGTTGTTGTCATGTTGCCGTGTTGTCGAGTGTTATGTGTTGTCGAGTGTTGCTGTGTTGTCGAGTGTTATGCTGTGGTGCCAAGTGTTATGTTGTGTTGTCAAGTGTATGCTGTGGTGTCAGAGTGTTATGTTGTGTTGTCAAGTGTTATGCTGTGTTGTCGAGTGTTATGTTGTGTTGTCAGAGTGTTATGTTGTGGTGTCAAGTTTTATGTTGTGGTGCCAAATGTTCAAAAATATGTTAACAACAATAATAATAATAATAATAATAATATGTGTATGTAATAATATATAATAAAAATATAATAATAATAATAGTAATAATAATAATAATAATAATAATAATAATAATAATAATAATAATAATAATAAAAAAATAATAATAATAATAATAATAATAATAATAATAATAATAATAATAATAATAATAATAATAATAATAATAATAATAATAATAATAATAATAATAATAATAATAATAATAATAATAATAATAATAATAATAATAATAATAATAATAATAATAATAATAATAACGATGCATCTCCTACGAATGACAATGAAGATAAATTAAGATAAACAAGAAATAACGAAGGCAAAGGAAAAGGTTAAGAATGTGGAGGCGAAAATGTTTAAAGAAGAAGAAACAATCACTAAACATAATGGAACAATCACTGAACATAATGGAACAATCAATGAACATAATGGAACACTCAGTGAACATAATGGAACAATCAATAGACATAATGGAACACTCAGTGAACATAATGGAACAATCAATGAACATAATGGAAAATCAATGAACATAATGGAACAATCAATGAACATAATGGAACAATCAATGAACATAATGGAACAATCAATGAACATAATGGAAAATCAATGAACATAATGGAACAATCAATGAACATAATGGAACAATCAATGAACATAATGGAACAATCAATGAACATAATGGAAACAATCACTAAACATAATAGAACAATCACTGAACATAATGGAACAATCACTGAACATAATGGAACAATCAATGAACATAATGGAACAATCAATGAACATAATGGAACAATCAATGAACATAATGGAACAATCAATGACCATAATGGAACAATCACTGAACATAATGGAACAATCACTGAACATAATGGAACAATCAATGAACATAATGGAACAATCAATGAACATAATGGAACAATCAATGAACATAATGGAACAATCACTGAGCATAATGGAACAATCACTGAACATAATGGAACAATCACTGAACATAATGGAACAATCAATGAACATAATGGAACAATCAATGAACATAATGGAACAATCAATGAACACAATGGAACAATCACTGAGCATAATGGAACAATCACTGAACATAATGGAACAATCACTGAACATAATGGAACAATCACTGAACATAATGGAACAATCAATGAACATAATGGAACAATCAATGAACATAATGGAACAATCAATGAACATAATGGAACAATCACTGAGCATAATGGAACAATCACTGAACATAATGGAACAATCACTGAACATAATGGAACAATCAATGAACATAATGGAACAATCAATGAACATAATGGAACAATCAATGAACACAATGGAACAATCACTGAGCATAATGGAACAATCACTGAACATAATGGAACAATCACTGAACATAATGGAACAATCACTGAACATAATGGAACAATCAATGAACATAATGGAACAATCAATGAACATAATGGAACAATCAATGAACATAATGGAACAATCAGCCGAAGCCACAATGGAACAATCCAATGAACATAATGGGAACAAATGGCATAATGGAACAATCAATGAACATAATGGAACAATCAGTGGTATAATGGAACAATCAATGAGCATAATGGAGCAATCAGTGAGCATATTGGAACAATCAATGACCATAATGGAGCAATCAGCAGCCATAATGGAACAATCCAATGAACATAATGAAACAATCAATGACCATAATGAGACAAATAATGAACATAATGGAACAATCAGCCGAACAATGCAGAACAATCAGTGAACATAATGGAACAATCAATGACCACAATGGAACAATCAGTGAACATAATGGAACAATCACTGAACATAATGGAACAATCAATGAACATAATGGAACAATCAATGAACATAATGGAACAATCAATGAACATAATGGAACAATCACTGAGCATAATGGAACAATCACTGAACATAATGGAACAATCATGCATATCGGTCAACAAGTGACTCAGCATAATTGTTCAGCCGAGTTTGAGTGAGTGTTTAACGATCGTGTCTGGTAGTTAAGGGTATTTAATGACCCTATTAAGCAGTTAATAGTGTTTAACAATCCTGTCCGGTAGTTAATGGTGTTTAACGATTCTATCAGGTAGTTATGTGT